AAAACATACAACATAAAACACGTTCATCACAACCCACAGCGGCGATTTCAGATATCGTTAATGTTGGAGTATACAAACACTTTTTCTATACTCCCAATGGACTGATACCTTATTACTTATTTTCTTATTTCATTCTTTAATTATTTTATTTATCTAGGCCCCTATTTAACTATTTTTTAAAGATTTTTTTTTAGTAAATGATTATTTATTTAGTAAACAACATCGCTAGACAAGCGCTTACATGGAATCCCCAAGGAAAAATAAAAAAGAGGTAGACCAAGGAATACGTTTAGGAGAGATCTTGAAAAAGAAGTGAATTATGCTGGATACATATTGTCAGAGTTGGAAAGAATTGGCCAGAACCGTGTGCGGTGGAAACGTCTAGTTGATGGTCTATGCACCGCCAGGTGTGACAAGGCTTAAGTAATTATTTACTGAGTAGACATTGTAATTACATTATAAATACAAAACTGACACTCTGGGAAACGAAGAGACAATCCACAGCCGAGGGCCTGGGTAAGCCTTCTATCAAAGTTCTTTCTCTAATAATAGTTTTCTATGACGAAGGATGTAGTTTTTCGGTTTAGGTGACCATTGTAACATTTCAGTCATCTGTGTTTGTTGCTCAATTTAAATTTCTCGAATTTGTTAATAAACCTTCTTCGGTAGGCCTACAGTACATTTTTGAACCATTATTTACATGCCTATGTTTGTTTTTGAACTTTCTTTTAGGCCTATAACCATGTTTATAAATAAGACTAAACAAAGTTATTAAAACAATAATCATCTACGCCTGTATTGCAATTAGGATAAGTCATGGAGTTATTATTTTAAATAAGATTAAGTATTTAATGCATTTTCAGACTTGAATTAATAATGTATTTTACACTCACCTTCCACCTCCGATACCTTTAAAATTACTTTTCAATCTTCATATTATACATATTTTCATTACTGCTTACTTTCCTGTTTGTCTCACATGTGGTGTAGATTTAAAAAAAGCATATAATTTATAGTAATTTCCACAGGCCTCATTTGGGTGTAACCATAGAAACAATAATTCTACCCGTAGCTTCCTCTGATTGGTGGACAGGCGTCATGGGACACAGTATTTTAAACAAACACATAATAATTAGAAACATTATTATACTCCTGCACTCTATGATTGGTTATCACACAGTTATATCGTTCGCTGATTAAATATCGATTTTAATTTTGTAAAGTTATAACTCCTGGGTTCAAAATTTTATAGCCTAATAAACCTAACAAGACTCGTGATAAAATGTATTAGGAATTACTTTAATTTCTTTCTTCGTTTATTTGTATTTATTACACAAATCATATGATTGTCAGACCCCCAAATGTCCGAAAACAAAACCACGTTCCATCATAATCGAATTCTCGATCTGTTAGCAGAAATATATATATAAAAAAAACCAGAGATCTCGAAAAAAAGTCGTACTATTCGATAACTGAAAATTTGACACATAAGCTTTTATGCAACTTTTGCATGAAACCACACGAAATGACGCAGTGGAAGCCGCGTAGTTTATTTATCGATGGGAGAATTAATTGCATACTCACAATTAAGAAGAAGGATGCAATTATCTTGAATTAAACTCAAATGTTCTGCATGCTAACAGTTACGATATGCGATAATTTCCAATCCATTGTTACATACCAATCAGCCTAATGGCTGTCATTTTTTAACAATCGATGTTTAATAAAATTTTGTTGTATTACTTTTTTTTTCTCTGACTTAATACATATTTATTTACTTTGAGAACATACGCCTTTGGAACGGTGGCACACACAAAGAGTGGTTAGTTCAACTTAAATTACAAAATATAAAAAATTAACTAAAGATGAAGCACACTTCTACAGAGTCATTGATAAAATATGCAGATATGAGCTACACAGAATAAACTATACATACAAAATAAAAATTATCCCACTTAAAATTAAATGTATGGAGTAATATTTTATACAGGCATACTCCTAAACAAACATACACAAACAGTACCTACTGTAAGTATACTTGTAAGGGGTCGCTCCCAAATATCAACATTTTCACAAGTGCACAAACATTAAATGCTGGGTGGGGTGGGGAGGGGTAGAACAATTTATACGCATTTACATATATGCATGAACTTTTATGACCAAATATATATATTACTTATGGATAACACTGAAATACATGACAGACGGGACTCATTGCAATACTCATACTTCGTGGGGCGAGATGATTGAGTCGTACTTATATAAATTTTATTCGATTCATTTCGCAAAGGTCATCTGTAACAACAAGTGCTTAGAATAAAATGTAAGATGTAGGCCTAATTTTGTAACGTTATAATTGTGTTAAAAATTGCATAGCGTAATATTAAACCTAAAAGGAATAGCGATAAAATGTATTTACGAGTCTTTAATTTCTTTCTTCGTTTATATATGAAACTTGTTACAATTCAAAATGATTGACAGGTCGTACTTACATAAATACTATTAGATTAATTTCGCAAATGTCATCTGTAGCAACAAGTGCTTAGCTTTATATTTAAACCTAACAATAATCGTGATAAAACGTATTTGTCTTGAAATTATTTCTTCGTTTATTCGTACAGTAACGTATTTATTACGAATCTTGTTACAATTCATAAAATTGACAGGTCGACTTTTCTTAATTGTATTCAATGCCACCTGTAACAAGTGCTTAATGCTATATGTAAGTGTTTAGTGTAAGATTAGGCCTAATTTTGTAAAGATATAGGCCTATAATTGGGTTCACTTCATGTTCTAATATTAAACATAGAATCAATCGTGATAAAAGTATAGCTGGAATCTTGAATTTCTTTCTACTCGTTTATTCGTATTTGTTATGAATTATGGTTACAATTCATAATGATTGACAGGTCATACTTATGATCAATATTAATTTTATTTAATTCATTCGCAAATGCCATCTGAGCAGTTTAGCTTAGGCAACTAAACTGCTGGTGCCACTGTGTATGCGCTGAACCGTGGCAGCCTCTTGGTCCCCGTATGCTCTCCTTGAATTTCAACTGGAGGGCTGCAATACGATATCGCACCGCCTTTCAGATGAAACCAAACCGTTTTTCCCGTGTAGGTACATTATGATGGATCATGTGAACATTACAGAATTAACGCTCTTCGGAAAAAAGATTGTCTCTCGTGTAGGCCTACAGCTGCCCTATCACCACCAGAAGGCAGCACTGGGAATTCGTCTTCTCATGGTTTAATGTTGGTCACCGAATACTGTAAATCCAACCATCCATCTGTATCTGTGTGTCTTGCCTATCTTAACTTTTAGCATTTTGTATTTTTCAAATTTACATTGTTTGTTGTACAAGTTATGAAGTCCTATTTAATTCTTCTATGCGTATATTTTAAGGAACCATATCTCAGGTGTATTTTATACTGTTGTCACAATAAAGTTTTATCGTCATACCGTATATATCGCTCGCTATATATAAATGATAGGCTTATCATTCATAAATAATATGGTTTCAAAAAACAATGGTTAGCTTCTAAATACAATAATTTATATAACAGCATCTCAATGTGTTTGGCTTGAGTAGTAATATATTAAAATTTTAATGGAAATATACTGCTCAAAACACAAATCTAAATTCTAAATATCAGTGTTCACCGATACACGTACAGTATTATGTGTATCGTGTTTATTACGGTGTTTGCGCTATGTATGCTAAACGTTGCTATACTTATTTCATTCATTAACAATTACCGGTAAAACGGAACTAAATGAGATGTTTTATTTCATAAAGACAACCTCCTGGTTGGCCGAAATGCCACGAATGTAATCGTGAGGAAAATAATAAATAATTTAATTAAAAGAAAAAAAAATTCTGAACATTTTGAGTGATGTAGAACGTGTAAGTTATTCATTCCAGCAATAATTTTTTAATAGTGTGCTTGCATGATGCACTCATCTGAATGTAAACAAACCAACGTAGGCCATATTACGGTATTAAAATTAAAAACGCAGTTGCCAAGACTAATTATTAATGAGAGTTACCGTCAGGGGTGGCGCTAGGGGGGGGGGGGGGGGGGGGGGGGGGGTGAGACGCCAGGCATTTTTTTCATATTAATAGATTCTAATAAGATCGATTAAATACCGAAGCCTTTGAAACCCCTAAATTCGGATTTGATTTGATTTGATTTATTTTGCATCTCCAATGCGGGTCCAGAATCCAGGGGGAATTATTGCACAGAGGTGAATATTTACAGATAGTTAGTGATCGGGCAACGTTCAGAAAAATATAGTAAAATAAGAAAAATACGTAGGCATAAATATATATAAAATTTAAATTTCGGGGGCGGGGGCGAGTATGTGAATGCAACTCTATGCTCACATTAAAGCAAATGAGAAAAGTCAATTCATTTGATTCATATCATTTTTTCCTCGGGCTTTAAAACATTAAGAAACAGCAATACATATAGGGGCCTAAAACTCAAAACTCTTTTGAAGTCTGAATTAAAAAAAATATGATCATATCATATATATTATTATATCATATCATATCATATAACATACCATATCATATACCATATCATATCATATATCACCAATCAAACACATATGGAACACATACTCAGCTCCCTGGGGAGAATTCCTTAATATTATTATTATTATTATTAATAAAAGGTATTATTAAAATTGCTGGTCTCATTCTATATTGTTTCGTGGCCTTCCTCCACGCTTATTTTGATAGAGCGCCCTCTTCACTTCATAGTAATAACAAACTGTACTGTTCTCTCATTGGAAGATACAGTATGATATTAATGATATTGTAAATACGTTTAATGAACAAATTACAGGAAATAATTTATGCTAAAAGCATTTATTGTTAAGAAGTACAATAATATACAATTGATTTTTTTTATTAAAAGTAATTTCATTTATTTAATTCTTATAAATTTTATAAGCGTCTGGACTAGAGCGAACAGCTGGGCTGGCTGATGGGTCATCTTCTCGTCTGGTGTTTAGAGAGAAAAGGGTTGAGTTGGGTCTTTTGATTGTGTTTTACAAAAGAAATTCCCATTTTACCCTTCTAATTTGTAAACATTTCTACGTGAGTAAGGGTATTGACTATTATTCTATCTATTTTACGTTCGTTTAATGTAAAAATTGTAGTTTAAATGCCATAAATATACTAAAAATATAGGCTGATTACGTGACGTTTCCGAGTGAATTCATCGACCCAACAGGAACAGGGTCATCATGTTGTTTATGCATCCTTTTTGTTTGTTGCGGGGCTTGGCTTTGTTGTCCGATGATGACACCATGCCCTTTTTAATTTCAGACATTTGTAGGTTCGATTATGCAACTGATTCTAATCATTGATTTAATATCAGTATATTTTCCCCTTAAAGGTCAAGGAATAGAGGTTAAAAGTTGGAGGATTTCCTCTTGCTGTGAGTGAGTGAGTTTAGGCTAGGGTAGGCCTAGGCCTATAATAAAGACAGCTTTTTGGGAATGTTGAGAGAGGTAGGTAGCTTTGTCTGACAATTATGTTCCAATATCCATTACCATCCTTACTTTTTAATTTAAATTTTGTTTAAACCCCATATTTTAGTACAATAATAATGCTATTCTCGCTCCTCTGGTTTAATATTAAATAAAATATTTAACCTACAGGAAAAAATCTACCGTCATGCCATGTAATAATGTAGTTAGAATTATTATAGCCCTTTATACTGACGTCTTGTCTTGCTTGTGGTGTGGACTAGCTTACAGTAACTTGCTTCTTTAATAGTGGTGGTCACTTCATGTCTGAACCATCAATCAACCGGCACCAGCTATTCCCATCTGTCCACAGCGAGCTGTATGGACCAGTATACCAGGGTAATCCCCTACTCGTCTCGAAAGATGTACTAGTTCTTTTTCTACACCAAGTCCAATGATTGTCCTTGGCTCCAGTATTCAATCTACTATACCACCCAAATTTGGGTGGATAAGAAATCCGACAAACTATTTCAGTCTAGTGTGTCGAAATTTGGCAAACTAGCTTTCAGCAAACTGGGTTTTTCTGATTTTTGGGTCGGTAAAATGGCATTTGATAAACTGGGTATTCGGCAAAGTGGACTCAGTAGTTTAGGTCTAAAAATTCATACTCGCATTTAAAGAATATGGGCCGTTTCGTTAACAAGTTGCTGCTAGATTTAAATGCAGAGAAGGTGAAAAAAATTAATTATTTAATTAGAGATGACCGTTTGGCTAAGTAGTAATGTTCCTACATCCCCTTACCTTGTAGGTGCCTGCTCGAGACCCAGAATTTGAATTTAGTTCTGAATTTTAAAGTTAATATTTGTTTCTGTGTCCTCCTTTTGCAGCACTAGTATACAAATGAGCGTGGAAGCTAGGTAATGTCTTCTCCTTTGATAGCCACGTATTATGGCCGCTCAGAACCCTAGTTTGTGCCAACCAGGGGGGCTTACTCGTAGGTCATCACGTGTTACCGTGGCGACAAAACGCAAACCTTCACCAGAGTTGAATACAACGCAAGAATTAGGACAAACCAAGAGGTATGTACGGTAATATTTTTTCACACTGATTTTCTCCTATAAATATATTAAGTTATCAAGGCAGAAATAGGTTTTTTTTATCATTTAAGAATACCAAAGGCCCCAATTGAATCCTGTCGCCCAGTCTCCTAGAACACTGCATACAAGTGTGATGTTTCGTTTTGTTGTCTTGAATTAATATTTCTTAGGCAGGTTTATTGTTGGGTGGGGGTTTTGTGGGGGGGGAGATGTGTGAACATTGAGAATGCAGACTTAAATCCCTATTCCAATGAAAAATGAATAGTCATATTAAAGCCACCTAGTGGAAGTGGAAGCAATTTCACCCCCATAGTGGGTGTTTCCTTTACACACACCCCCCCCCCCCCCCCCCCGGTTACCTATGCCCATGAAATTTGAGTAATGTGTTTTGGATTGCGTACAGTATTTAGGCTTGTTATCACTTTACAATCAGCTACTTAAAAATAATTTCAGGGTTTGCTTTGTTGTGACCCAATTCAGTCTTGTATGCTATAGAATTTCAGCATTCCATAAAAATTGTTACAGTTTGTAATACCATAATGATATTAAAATAGACATTGCTTCGAATAAGTATGCAAAAAAATTAGCACTGCTGTGAAATAAACCCGAGTTTTTTTTACATAAGCAACTCACCATTGACATACTTCAGTGTGTGGTACATATGCTATATTGTGGTTAGCTTTACTGAGTAAAGCCTCTTTCTTTTCCACTTGGCAAATTTATTCTCGTGAATTGATTGCGCATTTTTTCACTTCGCAAAAACTAGAAACTGCTAGAGACTTGCAGTACTAATATCGTTGAAGTGAAAAACTGATAGAAATATAATTGCGCATGAACGGATTGCACCAATAAATTCGCTTAGTGGAAAAGTAAACTTTTCGTAATGAACTGGATTATGACTTTGGTTTCACTGTTTTCTGCAAACTAAATAATCATACAGAAAAAAAAACTCTCTGTACTCACTGTATGTATAAAGTGTGTTGTATTACACTATCATATCAAATAGAACCAAGAAGACCTATAGCCCGGGTATTCAACCTTTTTAAAGCTGGGGGCCTGTTCCAATCTGTTGTGACCAGCGGTGGGCGGACATAATTGTGAAGAAAATATACCACCTCAGCCCCACCATGCTTGGGGCTGAGGCAAAAAAAAAGTTATGATTATGGCAACTCTAGATGATGGTACTCTCTGACTTAAATTTGAATATAATTTTCTTTTCTTCTCATTTCATTTTATTTTATTTCACACAATGCAAAAAAAAAATTGAATTGAATTGAATTATAAAATTCTTCATAAAAGTAAATAAATAACAAGGACAATGTAATCTAATTAGGTAATATTAGCAAATTACTAAATTACAGTAAAAATTAATAATAACAATAATAATAATAATAATAATAATAATAATAATAATAATAAGGATAATAAAGATCGGTATTCTCCTACCATGCCACTAGAAATTATCCTACCACAAAAATATCCACTCACAGTGATAGTGGTTGAGGCAAATTGTTAATACGTGGCCCCTGAGCCTGCTGGCGCCACAAATCGTAGACATCGCATCATATCAGCTCCCGATTTAATCCATTAGTCTCCCTCTCCCCATGTCAATACCCTACGCCACTAGATACAGTGAGCTACACTCAGAAAAAGCCACATTCTTGTAAACAATGCTAGATAGAGTAGGGGTGCCTATGTGGTGTTTCTATAAACATAAAAATACTTTCTAAATATGGGCTGGAAAATGATTAATTTTCAGCAATGTTGCGTAAGATCAAAATCTTTGGGGGCCGGATTTGGCCCGCAGGCCGGGGGTTGAATAAAGGGGACCAATGGGCACATAAAAAAATTTATTAGATTATCACTCTTTTTTTCAAAAAAATTGATGAAGACGGGAGGTTTTTTTTTTTTTTGGACTGAAGAGGGGGTGGTGAAATTTTACCTGGGATTCCTGTGTGCATGGACAGAATGAACATGACATAGTTTTTCGTGGTGGCAGATGTATTTAAACAACTGCCCTGTGATTCAATGACCTATAATTAGTCTTATATTTGGGGAAAAAATTAGAATTACTCGAGCATCAAATCAAACACCCAACTTTCTTGATGTCGTAGGTTAGTTTTTGCTCAACAACAACCACACCAACCAAACACCCATCGCAAGGAAGACCGCCCACTTATGTAACAAGTTATTTTTAGTAGCGAAGAGTCTCTGTGGAACATGTTAGTCTTCATGCTGTGAATCAACTATCCGATCAGCCCACTTTGCTGGCCTCTTTAGGGACGGACCGCAGTGTTGCTTATTTTTAGCCAAGCTGTAGAACATGCAAGACTACACACTGAATTAATGATCCGTTCAGCCCACTGGGTGGGTCTTTTTAGGGAGGACCGTGGTGTTGTCTATTTTTAACCGCAGTTAGTGAGCTGTTTATTTTTAGCGACAGTAAACAAGTTTAATCTTTTTTTCAAAAAAATTGATGAAGACGGGAGGTTTTTTTTTTTTTTTTGGACTGAAGAGGGGGTGGTGGAATTTTACCTGGGATTCCTGTGTGCATGGACAGAATGAATATGACATAGTTTTTCGTGGTGGCAGATGTATTTAAACAACTGCCCTGTGATTCAATGACCTATAATTAGTCTTATATTTGGGGAAAAAATTAGAATTACTCGAGCATCAAATCAAACACCCAACTTTCTTGATGTCGTAGGTTAGTTTTTGCTCAACAACAACCACACCAACCAAACACCCATCGCAAGGAAGACCGCCCACTTATGTAACAAGTTATTTTTAGTAGCGAAGAGTCTCTGTGGAACATGTTAGTCTTCATGCTGTGAATCAACTATCCGATCAGCCCACTTTGCTGGTCTCTTTAGGGACGGACCGCAGTGTTGCCTATTTTTAGCCAAGCTGTAGAACATGCAAGACTACACACTGAATTAACGATCCGTTCAGCCCACTGGGTGTGTCTTTTTAGGGAGGACCGTGGTGTTGTCTATTTTTAACCGCAGTTAGTGAGCTGTTTATTTTTAGCGACAGTAAACAAGTTTAAAGAATGGCTTTGCATTTTCAACTTTACGGCGATCCCATTGTCTGAATACAAAGTCTGCCGAATTCGGAGCAAATTCCTGTATATTTTGTGAGCATTTGTTTTTTGCAAAGTTGTTTTTATGCAGTTAAAATAAATGATGCGACAAAAAAAAATAAAATAAAATAAAAATAGAATTATTCCCCCATCAATATTTCCAAAATTGTTGACGCAGGCGGGAGTGATAATCTAATAAGTTTTACTATTTGCCCTATAGTATTTAATTTTAAAGTACTATTGGAAGTGTTTTTGTAGGCCTACTATAAATTTGTATTTTTTAACTATAAATTTTGAATTATTGAATCACAATGGCTTTTTTAACTTTCTTTCCTATCTCATGGATTCAGATGTTTTGTAGAATTATATAATGAGGAAATTGTTTATGAGGATTAACTACAGTATAAACAGTAAAGAATAAACAGTTATCTGGTCACTATCGATAGACATTGAAAGGGTAGAAAAATTCCCTGTTGAAAATAGCAAAACTAGATTCTCATGAAAGTCCTCATTATTGAACAATTTCTGGGGTCACTGTAGAAAGTAATATAATATAAGCTGAAGGTGCCATTATTTGCCCACATAGCAAGGGCTGAATGAAATTTGTTAAGGAAATGATTTCTTCTAAGGTTTTTATTTTCTATAGTGTCTTTAAGTAAAAATATAATGTAATTGATTACCTTATTTATTTCACCTTGTACAATATGAAAATTTTAATCAAACTGCTGGTTTGCGGGGACCAGTTGCTATATGATGAATGCTGTACATTAGCTGTGTGTGCGCATACAGACTATGAGAATGATTGTTGATAGTACTGTATGCACAATGACTTAATTGTAGGGTGAATGAATATTACATTTAATACAGTACAATGAATGCATATTTGATTGTGTTTGATAAACTTGAGAATAATATTAGGTAGGCCTAATGAGAAAATAAAATATTGTGTAAACATTAATGACTTCATTGTCACCTTGGTATCTCAAAACGATTTTTCTTATAATTATAAACTAAACCAGATCATTGAATATGATTTCAATGAAATTGATAAGAAATAAGAGGAAAAAATTATAATTACTATTGTGATGGCATATATGTTTACCCTGCCACACAGATAACTGGGTGCGCAGTATCCACGACCAGATATACTCCTGTTGTGATTAACGTTTGGAATTGTTAACATTTGAGGTCAACAAGAGGTGAAACCAAAACAGAATCCATGACTCGTGTGCACGTGGTTGACTTGAAAATCTGTGCCCTTTGTTGAGTGATTCTTAAACTTAATTATTGAAATAGAATCTTGGCTATTAAAGTTATCCATTTATTTATTTATTTCGACAATAGTTGTCCATCAAACCAGAGCTGCTACATAAAATGAAGGACGATAGAATATAAAGATTAAAATAACTTGAGCTAGACCTTTAACATTAACTAATTAATTAAATGTGTACAGAAAAATGTTTAGGAAATACAGTAATAAGAATTAAGGAAAAGATTAAAAAAAGATTCAAACCAAATTAACAAATTCAAAGTAATATTGGTACATTAAAGACAGTAAAATTATTAAAATTGAAGTAATCCAGAAAATTAAAGGGGCACGATGTGGTATGGTCAGATGTGGTGATTGAACAAATGGCATAGTATGCAAAAGATCACTCAAAATTGTTTTGCTGAAAGCATGCGACACCTTTAGAGAAAAAAAATTAACATGAAAAAGTGTATGAGGTAAAAAGAGAAATAGCAATACATGATCTACAGTTCTACTTGCCTTACTGTGCGTTAGGCTACGGTACATTCAAAGCTGGCAATTTTTACCCTTCATGAATGAGGCTATGTAATTTTACTTGCTCTTATTAAGCTAGTCGGCCTACATGTAATGCAAATAAGATTTTGAAGGTCT